ACAGCTTATTTCAGCTGCAAATATGTGAAGGATCATGTTTTCGCATATTTTATTTGTGAGAACATAAATTGATACAAACCCTAGAGAGAGCAATTTGGTAATGTAAAAATATAAAAACTGTAGACAGTCTTTGAGTTAGTAATTCTATTTCTAGGGATTTATCCTACGGACATATTTAGGCAACAGAATGATGATGTGTACATGAGAATATTCACTGTAGTATTTGTGAAAGTGAAAGCTGTTGATCAACTAAGAAGTTATTTTTAAAATTAGTCTATTTCTATACAATTAAATACTTTAAAAATTAAGTAAGTGGGGGCAGGTTTGGAGAGATGAGTAAGCAGTTAGAAGCACTCTTGCAGAGGACCCAGGTTTGATTCCCAGGACACACATGGCGGCTAACAACCATCAGTAAGTCCAGTTCCAGGGGATTCAACACCCTCTTCTGATGTTCTCAGGCATTGAATGACACAGGTGCACTTACACACATGCAGGTAATACACTCACACACATAAAATAAAAATAATAAATAAAAATATTTTTGGTCTTTTTGAGACAGGGTCTCCTAGAGTAGTGTTTAATAATAAAAAAGAATATATTGAAGGAGAAACATTTCCCAGACACCATTCATGAATACAGTAGGATAAAGGGCCACACATCATGTGTTCTCCACATGGAAAGAAGGTGACAGCATAGTGTGCCTCCATGAAGAAGCGGCTCAGGGTTCAAGGTAGAAGTGGGTAAGCTTTTATCTGGATGCTCCTTTGAGATTTATGAATTATTCGTGGTGTTCGTGTTTACCTATTTGCGGCTTAATGTTTTAATGGTAATACAGGAGGTTATGCAACAAAGCTGGCTCCATGGAGGGACACAGGTACATAGGCACCAGGTGCCGGGAATGTGTGTCACCTTCCAACAAGAAGGAGTGATGGTTGCACTTGAGATCAAAATTAAAATGATGTGGAGCCAAGAAGAAATGAGAATGAGGTTAAATCAAAGCTGAGCTACAGAGCTAGTGGTTGAAAGATAGATGAGATCAGGGAAAGAGCTTCACACAGAGGCTTCTGTTGTTGCTAATGAGCTGAACTTAGGGCTCTATGTATCTATAAGTAATGGTCACAGCATACTAAAGGGTGGTTACCTACTGGATTACACAGTCCATCACAAATTCATGGGCATAACTTCTACTCTGTATTTAATCACCAGTAATTATATTGATATCATTATGGGGGTGGTATTGGGAAGGAATATAATATATCCAACTTGGGGCTTATCCTCATACCAAAAGGGTAATAGGTAATCATTAACTGAGTGACAATTATCCAAAACCATAGCACTTTGCTTCCCTCATCGTGGCCAGTGGTACTGCAGTGCAAGTTGGAAATGACTGAGTACAGGAGTAGAAGTTGAATAGTGTGCATACCAATCTACCCCAGTTATGTTCAAGTTCAAAGAAGGAATGTAGTTTTCTTTACACAGCCCTAACAAAGCAGCTTACATAATCAGATACTTGGAGCAAATACTTGTTCTAGATGGCAGTGGCAGTGATAATAAACATGGAATGCTATCCATTTTTCTTGGCAGAATCCTTTGCCAACATTCATGTCTTCCCCATAGCACAAATGGGAAGGGAAAGGGGTAATGAGCCTACTCTAGTTAGGCGCCCTAAACTCTGACTGAGCTGCTATGACAACCAAGTAATAAGCCTAATAGTCACCATACTTATTTGATTTTCAGGTCCAGAGCAGTTAAGAGATCCGTGCTGCATGCAGTCCTCCCCACAAACAGGGCTGTGCTGTCATGGAAGGGCCCGGTGCTTCTGGAAGCCATGGTACGGGGTTTCACTTATCAGATGAGAAAGCAAATCTACTATTCCAAGTTTTAAGAGGACCACGCTAGATTCTATTTCCTAATCATAAAAGTATTTTAAAAATTAATGTAATTTAAACAGGACTGTTTCCTGAAAAAAAGAGTATTTGTTATTCATTGAACATAGCCCTCTTTGACAGTCTGAACCAGTGAAACCATTCTACCAAAATTTAAGCAGCAAGAAATAGTATTTCCCATTAGTCAAGAGCTTAGATATAGGCTGATTCAACTCCATCATTTCTACCCCATCACACACCAGTCAAGATCAGGAAAAGGACCTGTTGAAGAACTCAGCATCTTATGGCTTGTCTTTTTTTTTTTTTTTTTCCTAAAGGGGAAAAGATTGATAGCTTTGTGTGGAAAAATTATTCCATCATTTTCCCCCCTTTTCACCAGAGGTGGGAACAAAGAAAGGAGATGATACTGCAATTTTGATCTCTATAACCTCATTTGAAATCATTCTCTGTGATTTGAGTTTCCTGGAAATGAAAAGAAGAAATTGTGTGAATTTAGTGAAAGTTGGGAAAAGAAGTTGATTGGACATCCTGTTGTCCAGGAACCAAACTGTGTGATAAGGTTTATCTGGTAGTTTGTTGCATGTGTATGCATGTGTGCGTGCGTGTGTGTGGGGGTGTGTATATGTGTGTGTGTGTGTGTGTGTGTGTCTCTGTGTGTGTGTGTGTTTGGGGGGGTCTGTGACTATGTTTGTCCATGTGTCTGTCTGTCTCTCTGTGTCTGTCTGTGTGCCTTTAAAACAGTGCCCTTCATCTGACATTTTATAATAATTCTAAGGGCCCCAAAACTTCTGCTGTAGAAATCTCTACAAAAAGTTCTTCATGGAAGTGATTCCTAGAATTCAAATACAGGGTGTGTGTGTGTGTGTTTGGGGGGGTCTGTGACTATGTTTGTCCATGTGTCTGTCTGTCTCTCTGTGTCTGTCTGTGTGCCTTTAAAACAGTGCCCTTCATCTGACATTTTATAATAATTCTAAGGGCCCCAAAACTTCTGCTGTAGAAATCTCTACAAAAAGTTCTTCATGGAAGTGATTCCTAGAATTCAAATACAGGGAGAACCTTTTCCAGTACTGATAGAGACAGCATCATTCTGAGTCAGTACTGTGTCTCAGAACCATAGCCAGCTGCCACAGTCCAGGTCAAGGCAACTGCAGAATGAGACCATTGAAAGCAGAGTCAGAATGAGAAGGTTTGAAAGCAACAGAAAAGCACCACAGTAAGAAGAAAGGCAAACAGTTCAGTCCCTTGAGACTTTATTGAGTAACTAGCAGGCTTAAAGCCAGAAGCTATGCACAGAAAAGAAAACTCAGAGTGAAGTCCTCCATTCAAAGAGACCGCAGAGAGCGAGGGTGAGTTGCTTATTATTTAGCCATAACCGCTATCTCCCCATCATCTCTTGGGAGGAGTATACTCCCCTATCCCCCACTCTCTCGCTAAGTCAGCGTCAGACTTGGTTAAGGGATTGCATTGCCTCACACTGGCCACAGCCTGCTCCCCAATACAGTTCTGGGTTTGGCCATGTAACTTAATTTGACCAGTAGGATGCAAGCTGGCACAGCTCAGCAGTGTTTCTCGCTGTCTTGAGTCTTTACTTTCCCATGAGAAGACCCTGCCCTCAGAAGCCTGGTCTTCCATGGAGGATGTGAGACCTGAGGAACAGTGCCCCAAAGAGGACCTCCTCCCTCCATCTGACACAGGAATTCTGGAGGAGGCTTCCAGTCAGGAGAAGCTTAGACCAGGAAACTCCAGCTAATCTCTAGACATACAAAAAATAATTTATGTCACTGAATTTGTTGTGTGTGTGGGTATTTGTTACACAGCAATAACAAACAAAGACAGGTAACATCTAACACAACATTTTAACTTCTTAATTTTTAGGGCCATATAATAAACCAAAGAGGTAGAAGGTAGGTAGACTACTTGTTCTCCTGAATAGAGCCATGTCCACAAAAAGTACAACCCTTTCCAGACCAGAATCTGGGAGAACACACATCCAGATCCTTTGGGCAGAAAGGCTCAAAAGTCACTGGACCTGTTAGAATGTACCTAAGCAACACAATAGCATGCTTAGTTCACCTAGACAAATGATTGCTGACCTGGAGGTCTAGAAAGAACTACTAAAACCACCCCCTGGATGAGGAGGATCTCTGTGAAAACACACTAAAAAGATCAGGGACTCTAGTGTATACAGACCTGTGTTGAGAAGCAAAATGATTCAAGTCTTTCAGATCTTGAATAGAGAGAGTGATCTGAGCTTGGATCTAGCATGCACACTCTGAATCATAAAAAGCATCCAAAACGGCTGGAGAGATGGCTCCATAGTTAAGAGCACTTGCTACTTGCAGAGGCGCTAAGTTTGGTTCCCAGCATCCACGTAGTGGCGCATAACCACCTGTAACTCCAGTTGCAGGGGATCTGATACTGTCTTCTGGCCTCCTCAGGCTCCTTCATGCATGTGGTGCACATAAACTCACACAGGCACACACACACATACACATAAATTAAAAAAAATAAATTATTTTATAAAAAAGCATAAAAGAGAAAATTCAAGAAAAATAAAGAAAAAGGTGATGCTACTTTCCATGGCCAAGAACAAGGATGACCATGTGTTGCAGCATACCCAGGACAGTTTTGGTCACACTGTTGTCCTATGTAATTGTTTATGGAACTTCCTTCCACTCTCAAAAGTGTGCTGGGTAAATAATAAATTATATCACCACTGGTGGCACACTTTACCCCTAGGGTCAAATCAGACAGGTCCAAGTGAGACTTAGACAAATTCATGGGGTCAGACCTGATGTGGATTGTCAAGGCAAATTGGACACTGGGGCACAAAAGGCCACCATGTCCCACTGTAACTTGCTCATTGTCCTGGTGACAGATGATAAAGCCACACTGACAAGTATCTTTCAGGCCAGCATGGTGTCCTTTGGGGCAACCCTAAAGGTCTTCTCTGGGAACCTTGCCTATGCTACAGGAAACCCACTCTCTACATGTATACTGTAAGGTACCTACCTCCTGTGCAACCCCAAAAAACACAAACATGTGACATTCCTGTTCCTGCCATGACTTCCACTTCCATTCAAAATCAAAATCAAGACCAAGTTTCCTTCTTACCCACACAGAGGTCCATATCGTTTCCTGAGTTCCAAATGGCTCTCCCAAAAACCCTGAAGAAAAAAACAGCACCATAGTAAGAATATGACTGAGCAAAACTTCAATGATTCAAACTTATTCAGAGTGGGGAGAAAAGTCTAGAACAACAAGAACACAGTTACATAAACAATAAAAGAAGGATTGAAGTTATATTACTTTGAAGTACTGTGGACTATTGGATAAAGAAATGACTTAAAAAAATATTGCCAAGTAACACTCTCAGCAGCTGTTTTAATGGACAGGAGAGACCGCAAGTACTTAAGCTATCTGTGTGTAATTACTGCTCACATATCTGAAAACTATTTGCTTTCCCATCTACAATATTCCCCTCAGAGATGTGGTTCATATTATTACTTTGCCAAATCCCTTCTCATGGCTGGTATATGTGTGAACTTCCGAGTCTATCCAAATTATCATGAATTCTGAATTCTCATGATCAAAGTTCAACACCAACCCAAACCAACAGATCCAAAACACAAATCTCAGTGATTTTTCATAGGACAAAACTCTAGGATACCAGAAGATGTGCCTGGGGTAAAATGAGTGGAAGATTAGAAAAGGCTAGACCCCTCATGCTGTGTGGATGGAGACAGAGGGCATAAACAGGTGTACATGGGGGCATCAAGTGGATGAGCATTGAAAAACGTAAGCCAGACATGGTGGTGCACACCTTTAGTCCCCATTAGAGGCAAGCGGCTCTCTGTGAGATTGAGGCAAGCCAGACTGACATAGGGAGTTCAGAGTCAACTGGGGCTACAGGGAGACCCTGTCTCAAAAAGACTCCCCCCCAAAATAGTAAGATGTGGAAGTAAATTTGAAAACATGCACACACTGGGAAGGGGCAGGGTGGAAAATGCTAGGCTTGGGTTATAGGAATGGAGTGTGAATAGAGTTGAACCTCAGATGAAGTAGATTCCCTGTTCAGAACTATGCCCTAATCCCAGTAACTCTACTGTGTTTCACAGTGCAAGCCTGGCCGATAGTGCAGAGATCCTGTGTGAATATAAGAATAATCTGTTGACTATGTTCTAGAAAGAAAGTGACAGAGTTTCTACATACAAATTTTCCACAGGGGCTAGCTACCCTGGGTTCTCCTTACATGACAGTTACTGTGTTTGCCTCAGAAAGTAAATAACAAATTAATTACTCCACTGACTACAACTGATCAGTTGTAGTCAACCTGTGAAATTTATGATCTTTACATTTCCTCTCTGGTTTGTTTGTTCTATTTTGACACTTCTAAATCTCTTCATACTTGCATCTAGGGCCTAGATGGGGTGACTGTCTGTGGGCTTAAAAGTTGTGAACTGTGTACCTCAGAGGACAAGACGGGAGAAAGTGTTTAAAATGCTAGAAAGAGAAAACCATCAGCAAAGAGTAAAGAGAGTATAAGGAGCAGAAAAGAAATTGAAGAGGAAAAGGGAAAGGGATGGGTCACTCTCTGCCTAGAGCACGGAGAAGAGCCCTTGCCAGAGGAGGGGTCGGGGAGCTCCAGATCCTCAGAGGGCTATTATTAGAGTTGGCCCAAATTAGTCCTTCCTGCCCTTATGTGGTAATTCACACACAGGATCTGGTGGCTCCTGATGGTGATCTGGTGGCAGTGTTCCCTAAGTTAGGCTTCTGAGAAAAAGCAATGGGAGAAAAAAGTAACCTTCAAAGATAGATGTCTGGATCCCTATCTACAAATGCCCTGGCCATTTCCCCTGGCCTGTCACGCTGACAAAATGAAGGCAGCAGACTTAAAATAGAACATTTTCTTGAACCAGCTTCCCTTCCTGGCCACTTCCTTCTGTCCCTTATGGCTATTCTTGTTATCCCGTTTTAAACTGTTGACTAGTGCCTCACTCATCTTCCCTGAATACCCTGCACCTCGTGATTCACCAGAGTTCTTATTTCTCATGACTGTCATCGCCCTTCTGTGCCAAGCCCTTGCCGTTTCAGTCTGAATGCTGGCCACGGCTAGAGCCTACAGCACTAATCTCAACTCTTGACCCTTTCAGGGTATTCTTCCCTCCTCTACTCAAAAATGGAGGCCTAGAATGGTTCTTGCCTTACCCTTCCAATCTGTGAGTAGTCTAGCCCATGAGCCGCACACAGCCCCAGCCTTCAGGGTCCCTGCATCATCAGGTCTCATCATTCCAGGTGCTGGCTGACCCCTGCCACCCTTGTCATGTGTCTGCACCCATGTCCACAGTGCTTGCTCCCTAGGTGTGTGTCCTTGTCTGGGACTCCTGTAGGAGCCTCTTCTCCAGAAACTCCCTCCCAGTGGTTCCTCCCAGGAGGCTCCCCTTGAAGCAAGACTATAGCTGCTATCTGCACTTCCCAGTCCAGCACTGGACACATCCCACCTGGTGGTGTGCTCCATTGGTGGTCGGTATGCTCGAAGGTGTGAATAACTTCTGCAGTGCATTCTAGGGCCTGGTATATTTAGATGCTCCATACATTAGGTTTGGGGTGAGTGAATGAATGAATGCATACTGATGAGTCTCAAGAGATGAATTAGTTAGTATCCTAGCATAAGAATCTATTCCAAGAAGTTGAGGATGTAGCTCAGTTGATAGAGTGCTTGCCTAGCATGCACAAAGCCCTGGGTTTAATCCCCAGCACCACATAGTGTGAGTGTGGTGGTGCACACCTTTAATCCCAGCGCTCGGGAGGCAGAGGTAGGAAGATCTCTATGAGTTCAAGGCCAGTCTGGTCTCCATAGCAAACCCAGGCCAGCTGTGGCTTCAGGGAGACCCTGTCTCAAAAAGACAAAAAAGAAAAAAAGAAGAAGAAGAAGAAGTTTGAGGTTATCACATAGCAGGTTTGAAACAGCCTTGACTACCTAAGACCCTGCTTCAAAAAAAAAAAAAAAATCAATCTAGTAGAGGTGGACTGTAATCACACCTTCACCCAGAGATTACCCTGGAGTGAGCAAACTAAACAGGAGTACCCCATGGGGAAGCCTGCACTGACCGGATCCAGTGAGTCTATGCCTTACCTGACGGAAAAACATCAAGTTTCCAATGAAAGGAGAAGGTTTGGGGTGTCTGATGCCCAACTTCTCCAGTCTTGAGAAGGCCGATGTGGAATACCTGAGTGGAGAAGCACGTTTTTAAAAACCAAGAAAGTGATGCTCATGCCATTGGCTCTATTTAGAATCAGAACTATTGGGACTGGAGAGATGGCTCAGTGGTTAAGAGCACTGGCTGCGCTTGAAGAGGCCCCAGCTTTGATTCTCAGCACCCACATGGTGGCTAACAACCATCTGTAACTCCAGTTCCAGAGCAATCAGACACCCTCTTCTGACCTCCGCAGGCATTACACAACATGGGTACACTTACATACATTCAGGCAATACATTCATACACACAAAAATAAAAAATAATAAATATATTAAATTATTTTTAAAAGACATATACTGATGACTTTACTCTTTGGTTATACTTTTCTTTTGGGTGTTTAAGACCATATAGTTGGCCCAAATAAATCAATTTATTTTTACACTTAAGGTCATTTGAGGATCTGTTCCTCAGGGGTCACATGGGCTTGGGAGGAGCTCCTGGCTCCTTTTTTTTTTTTAACCAGTTCTATGTGAAGATAAGTCAAAGGTCCTGCTTGACCATGTCTGGTTTCACTTGGAAGCATGAATGAGATGTTTCCTCTGAGTTGACCCTCCTCTTTGTAGACTAGATAGACACTGGTTCAAGTCCATTTCGTGGGGTCTCCATGTCTTCCCTGAACAAGAGGACAGGTGACCCACCACAGTTATAGGATATTTTGAGAGATGTTCCATAGTCCCCTGGAACTTAGTTGACCTTGGAGGGCAAGGGGCAAAAACTGTTCTTTAAGTCCCTGTGACCACATTAGTATAAGCCTCAAACTATGGCTGTTAAACATCCAATAAGGTTAGTTCCACTGTCTGGTACTTTTAATTATCATGTGCTATGTAGATAAGGCTTAGGAAAAGACTAAATCTTGCCTAGACATGTATTATATTCCTTGAGCTAGTTGTATGAATAATTGGTCAATAGGTTGTTTGATTAATATGGTATATGGTTCCCTCTGTTTTTTTTTCTTTTTTTTAACTAGCTAGGCATTATTTATCTCTTGCATTGTCTAACCTTTCCATGGTTTCCCCTGTGGAGAGCCACAGCCTCTGCCGCCATTACAAGATGGCGCCGGTATCCAGACCTTCTTAACAGTAAACATCCTGCTGCGCCCATAAGGGGCGTGCACAAGAGCCTGCTCTCCCTCGCCTCCTCCCGTGGCGTGATCTCCAGCAACCAATCCGCTTCTTATACGTCATAGATGGGACCTTTAGACTATATAAGCAACCGCTCTCCCGCTTCTCGGCATCTTCGGTCTTTAAGCTTCTAAGAGTGTAAGATGCGCATACAATAAACTGCTGCAGAAGGATCCTGACTTGTCCTCCCGCGTCGTTCTTGCCGGCGAGACAGAAAGCGGTCGGGGACAGCTGGTGCCGAGACCCGGGTGAGGCCATATACACCGAAAAGCCTTAACGCAGCATGGGTCATGCCTTCTCTTCCTAGCCTTCCCCAGATTGTATACTTTAGCCCTTCCCAAATCCAGGAGGGAGGCCATGGGTGATTAGGGCTAAATTACATAGGTTGCTGGGAAGAGTGGCTGGTGAGGGTCCAATGACCCTGCTTGGCCCTCCTTTAATGAATGAGCACAACCATCACAACTCTTTAAGAGTTCAAGGGATTACACTTCCCAGACATTAGGCTTAAGTCTATATAAAAAGTTATT